GGTAGAGCGCTAGCCTTGAGCTGAAGAGCTGAGGGACAGGGCCCAGAGTTCAGGCCCCACGACCGGACCCCCCACCCCCCAAAAAAAGTTGTCATTGAAAGGTTGCCTTGCACCTAGAATAATAGAAATGGAGTGCATTTATTGTGATTGTTGTTTTCAAGCTGGTAATGGGGCTTCAATCCAGGGCCTTGAACTCTTGCTTGGCTTTTTCACTCATGGCTGGCACTCTACCTCTTGAGCCTCACCTCCACTTCCAGCTTTTTGCTGGTTAATTTAAGAGTCTCATGGACTTTCCTGTTTGAGCTGCCTGCAAACTACCATCCTTTGATCCCAGCCTTTGGAGTAGCTAGGATTACAGCTGTGAGCCACTGGTGCCCAGCTGAGATGAAGTTTTAATGCTCTTGCAGTAGACAGTCTATTGAATGAAGATTTTCTTACACCTCCGTGTAACCTGAGGCATGTGGCATGGAACCTTCTGTGGCCAGGTATCACTTTGCCCAGAGGATTCTGTAAGCTATGAATGACACAAAGTACCTTCCCCTCTTCCCCAGGCCCCAGACTGGGTCTCCCCAGTGGTGAGCGACCACGCTCTGCATTAGCAGGCATCAGATCAGCCCTGAACATTCGCTCCATGTCTGACTCACTGGGTAAACACGCCTGTTCCAGGAGCAATATTTGCAAGTTGTCTCAGTGAACTTAATTCCTTCTCTTCCGCATTATTTTTCTCACTAGCTTCATGTTTTCTTTGATAGAGGATGCTTCTGAGACTTTCTCTCTTTCAAACTAATAGAAAACTGACCTCTGTGCATCTGGTTTTTGTTGGGCAGTAGTTCTCCCAAAAATCACACCCACCTTTTACCAGGAATCTGACCTCATTGTTTCTTCCTTTTACTTCTTCCGCAGAGGGGTGGATAATAGGAGACCTTTGCATTGCCAGAACTAATAGTGGTAGAGAAACTGAGCTGTCAGTCCTTGGGTTTTATTAATGCTGGCACTGTATTTGTTTTCACAATTGTTCTCCTTCTTTTATTCATGGTAGAGCTATTAACATTCTTCTCACAGCTGTTGTCACTGAATGTTCTGGAACCCTAATTTCCTCATCTGTGAAGTGGGAAGACATATTACTCTCTACCTAAGAGTGTTGTTTTGGGAATTAAATGAGATTATGCTTATTAAACAACTTGCACCATGCTTGACACAAAATATTTGCTCAGTAATTTTTTTGGATATATGAACCTGTTTTCAATGCAAATAAGTTATTGTTACCTTGCTCTGCATACTCAGTATGCTGTCAGAGGTAAGTTAGAGCTCTTGGAGCAAGCTGCTTGACTTCCATCTATACCCCAGCAGTTTCTGGCAGGGGGTAGGGGAGGGACTTGGGAATAGGCCCTGTCATCTTTGGTATGTAAGCCACACCATTTTCTCAGCTACTCTTGTTAGCTTTGATTCCCATGCACCCCCACCCCCACCCCACTTTCCTTGAAGGTAGATCATTGTGTAGATGTCTTTGGAGGTAGGGTAACGAGAACTGAATGCTGACTACTCAAAAGATTAGTGACTTAAACCACAACCTCTTCATTTTTTTCTGTGATTCTGAAGGTTTACTAGATGCAACTTCCTTCTTCTGGCCTTGCTTGAGGTCAGTAATTCCACAGGTTGCTTAGCACTAAGAATAGCACAATAGCTTCAGTCCCTTGTGGCACCGTTGTGGCAACTGAACTCTCTTTCTTGATAATCTGTACCCATGACCAGCTGGGTCATGTCTATGGGGTAGTCAGATCCCCAGAGCACAAATAGAAGTGCAAGAGTTAGGTCTTCTTAAGGCCTAAATCTAGATTCTGGATTTTCTAAGAGTGTGAATTCTTAGGAGGTATCTTTGGAAACTGACTACCCAATAGGTAGTCATTGAATGGTAATTCTTGACCATGTTCCTACTACCTCTGTCACGTGGTTCACCATGGCGTGTAGTACCCATTGTGTTTTACTTACTAGCTGGAAATTCAGGTTGCTGTTCCTCAACTTAAGATCTCCTGAACAATGAGCCCCATTTTTACAATAAATATGTGGTAATAAAAAATTGACTAAAAAACCTCACTCTCCTGACATGGTTCTTGCTCTAGAAAGCACAGAAAAAATAAAAACCTTTAAGCTACTCAATTATTGCACGCTCCAACTGGTTTTCTAAGTCCTTTTCCTGTCTCCCTGAGTAGCACCGTGTGAGAAAGGTTGGATGCTGCTGTGAGTGTTGCACTTCACTGTTAGCTATTTAAACTTCCAGGGCTCATGTTGTGCTTATAAAACCAGCATGGACACTCCTTTCTAAACCATCTGGGTAGAAGATATGAAATAGAGTTTCTTCAATTTCTCTCCCTCTTTCTTTCCTCTGTCTCTCCAGTTCCTTTTGAAACAAATACAAAAGCAGCAACAGTTGAACCTTCTGAAGCTTCCCAAAATGATGAAAGAGACCAAAGAGATGGCTCTGATTCTGCCTTCCTGAGCTCATTTCCAGGGAACATCCATTCCAGTGCAGTGGGGTCATCAGAGAAAAATGCCACTGGCGCTTCTGTTCCTGATGCTCCCATCATACTGAGCCCCCCACAGACCCACACACCAGACACATACAATTTGGTGTGGAGGGCAGGGAAGGATGGCGGACTCCCCATCAATGCCTATTTTGTAAAGTACCGAAAGGTAATGCCTCCTCTTTTACTCATTATTGGGTTCTTGTTCCTTCTGTTTGTCCATTGTGTCTCTTATTTGTAATGATATATCACATTTTAAAACTTTTCTAGAATTAACTGAATTCTAGTTTGGGGAGGGTGGGGGAGTGTTAATGTGGAACGCAGGGTCTCAGCTTACCAGGCAGGTAAGCTGAGCCACACTTCCTGTCTAGGCATATATAATCTGGGCTGCAATCTGCCTATTTTAGGCTTCCCATTGTAACTACGCTGATGGGTAGATGCCACCACCCCCAGCTCATCTTTGAAAAGGAATCTTCTAAGCTTCCCTCCATCTCCCCCTGTTCTGGGGTTTCTCTTGAGCAGCTGGAGGATGGTGCTGGTGCAGTGGGAAGCTGGCACACAGTTCGGGTCCCAGGTAGTGAAAATGAGCTGCATCTAACAGAACTGGAGCCATCGAGTCTTTATGAAGTGTTGATGGTGGCAAGAAGTGCAGCAGGTGAAGGACAGCCCGCCATGCTTACTTTCCGGACCAGCAAAGGTGAGTATCATCTTCCATCAGTCAATGCCTGTACTGATGTTAAGATGGTTAACAATGCTTTTTGATACTAGAGATTCTTAGGTAATAAACCCACTTTGATGAGGAAGGGAAGAAGTACACTTGAAAACCAACTCCAAGAGAAACTTAAATACGGTTCTTGTATTAACTGAATACTTTCCAGGTTTTATCACAAAGTACACAGAATAGATAAAACTCTTATGGAGCTCACATTCTATGTGGGAGACATGTAAGCCTTTGTTATATGTATACTAGCAGACAGTGTTAAGAGAAATAAATTAGGAGAAGGATATAGGAAATGTCTCAGGCATTGCTGCCTTTTGAGCAGGTGGGCAGGGAAGTCCTAATTGACCAGTGTCCAACTGAGCAGATATACAGCAGGGGAAGAAGAGAACCATATGGCTGTTCAGGGATAGAATGTCCCCAGCAGAAGACAGCAAATACCAAGGCTTCAAAGCAGTGTGTTCTTAACATATAACCTAGGAATGCTATTGCGGCAAGGTAAGTGGGGAGCTGTCAAGGAGGAGTATTGGAAGGAGGGGGTGAGAGGGTAGAGAATCACATCATACACTGTGGACCTTGTAAAGACCTTAGCAAAGCCTCTGAGTGAGCTAGGACAGCTGGAGCATCTGAACGAAGTGTGACACGGACACCTGTGTATTCTAATAGGAGAGTGTGGTGCGGGTGGATATAGGAATATGATAAGCACTTTGAGAAACTTCTAAAAGAATTTTCCTGTGGGCAAGCCTGTGAGGGAGGCAGAATTGAAGAGGCTATTGAAGCTTGGTGGGAAATGAACAAAACCAAACCACTTTGGTGGGTGGAGATGGGGACCAGGTAGAAGAGTATTTTAGTTTGATACTGTAATAGAAGAGGTCTGTGGAATGAGAAGAAATTATCTAATGACTTAAGACCCTTTCCTCCAATGCTAAATCTGTAAATCTGGCCAGGAAATAATGAGTGCTTGCAATTTCCAATGCATCTTCAGATAATTTCCACCATCAGTCATTTAGTTATTAATAAAATCTGACCTATAAATACTGAAGAGGTATATTTCTGTTTTAAAAATTGTCCAATTTCACTTTTTGCCTATAGAAATATTAAAGTTTAATGTGACATTTTTTGAAAATGCTTAAGAGAAACACTTTAGTAATGAATGCTGTTTTAGAATTTATACAGTAAAGGAAAATGAGCTCATTGGAAACCTTCACTCTAGTCATTTTCCTTTTCCACATATGAACAAAAGTTGGTATGATGAAGAAAGGCACATTTTTGCTTTTCCCCTAAAGATACTAGAAAAAAGCTGAAGTAATTTTTTTTTTGTTAGTTCCAAAGATCAGGTAAGTATTTAAGTGTAGTTAGTTGATTTAGATGCTGTTACTGGTGAATTCTATCTGTCTATAAATGACTCTTTATTTTAACTTTACATATCTAGGCTTATGTTGCCGTTTTGGTTTTCAACTTTTCTTTCTTTCTTTTTTTTTTAAAGAAAAAACACCATCAGTAAAAAACACCCAGGCCTCCTCTCCACCCATGGGCATCCCTAAACATCCTGTCATTTCAGAGGTTGCAAACAACAATTTTGGAGTGGTTCTTACCGATTCCTCTAGGCACAGTGGAGGTAAAGAGTCTTCATTTTATTCATCTTGTTTCTTTATAAGTATGAAGGCCCTGTTTCAAGGTTTCAGACTTCAGGGAGATAGGATAGAAGAAGATGTTTGCTATTTAAATTGCATCCTGTCAGATACCTCTTGTAGTCCTTTTCAACCATTTTTAATGTCCTGGATTTCAACGTTGGCAACTCAGTCATAGTATTTAACATAATAAATTCAGATTCAAAATGTTCTGCTACTAAGTCTTTCACAATCATTTTTTAAAAGTGTTTTTCTGTCTCCTCTTTGACAAGAAAACTAAGTTTATATTTTGAATTCCAACTTTGCCTGTGTGTCACTTCATCAGAATATATGTTAATACCAATGATAAATTACTTTGCTGAAGAGTACATGTCCCATTCACTCATATTACACTATCTAGTAAGCTGTATGGATTTTAAATGCTAGAGCAGTCGAAATTTCAGGACTTCTTTTTTTGTACTTAAATTCCACATTTACTAGTTCTAGAATTAATATGCTTTGTATGATTTAAAAGTATTTGTGTGTGTGTGTGTGTGCGTGTGTGCGTGTGCGCGTGTGCTTGTCCTGGGGCTTGAACTCAGGGCCTTGTACTCTTGCTTGGCTTTCTTGCTCAAAGGAACTCATTTGGTTTTAAAAAGAGATGCACTAACAGTTCTGTTTATTCTGTTTCCATTGCTTTCTAATTGAAAGGAATGCAGTAAGTATCACAGTTACCTGTTTTGAATACATCCTCTAAGCAGTTTGCACCTCAGTTTTCTTCATCTGAGTACTTTGTTCACCATCATTTCCTTCTTTCTAATATGTTTATTAATGAGAATTGAAGAGATATTGAGATCAAAGCATGTTGCTTAATAAACAAGGCCTAGATACAGGCAAAGCTCCTTCTAGTGGCTTCACAAAAGCCAGATCACTGTGGCCCAGGTTGGCTCTTCCTGTTCCAGCTTTAGAGGTCAATTGCCAGCACACCAAAGGATCATCAGCCTTTTGAGAACCAGCTCACATTTACAGAACTCACTAGGGAGTAAGGCAAACTAGAATGGCAGATTACTAGCTTGCAATGAACAGTCCTGTGGGTCAGCCTTTTTTCCTTTCAGCAACCAAGTGGGAAGCCATATTGCTTGATCAGCAAGAGTTGTTGAATATGTGATCTCAGAGAGTTTACTCCTGATGTTCCCACCTGCCACTCCAATTTGAGGACTGTAGCATCTCTTCCCCTTCAAATTGTTAACTAAAGCAAGTTCCCTAACTCAAATTTTCCTATGTAGTCATGTGGATCATCTTTCCTGCCTTTCCTCTTCCTGCTTTCATCCCGAGCACATTCTCTCCTCCCTTTAGTATCAATATTAATTTTAGGGCTGGGAAGGTGGCTCAGTAGTAGAGTGCTTGCTTTGCATGCATGAGGCCCTGGGTTTGATTGCTCAACACCACATAAACAGAACAAGCCAGAAGTGGCGCTGTGGCTCAAGTGGTAGAGTGCTTACCTTGAGCTGAAGAGCTGAGGGACAGCGCCCAGGCCCAGAGTTCAAGCCCCACGACTGACCAAAAAAAAAAAAATAATAATAATTTTAATCAGACAAATGTTATCTTATTGCTTGCCGTCTATATTTTGGACAAATAATTCCCATATCCGTGAAGTATATTGAAGTAGGATATAATAATATGGCTAAGTTAATAATCAACAGATTGCAGAATGAGTTTTATGTAGTTGGGACAAAGAAAAACATTTAAATAAGATAACACATAACTGCAAGAATTTATTACAACTATAAGCAAAATCAGACTGGAAGCACCAAATCATACTGACACATTGTTTTAATCTTGACTCCAAAAGAGCACAGTCATTAATTACCACAGTCATTAACGTTCAGTCTTTCAGAGCTAATTATCAAGTCTCTAAATCATTTGACTTTTCCTTCCTTGCATTTCCTGCGTTTTGCTTACATTTCCCCATTAGTTTTCAACAGAGGACAGGAAGAGAGTCAAATATTATTACCTCTGGAAAAATGTTTGGTGAGGAACCACTAATAACATGAGCTTTGGGATTTATCTCTTAAGGTGCATTTCACTCTTCTTCCCTCCGACATTGTGAGTTATGCGAAAACAATGCATTTGTGTTTTCAGTTCCAGAGGCACCAGATCGACCCACAATCTCCACTGCCTCTGAGACCTCAGTCTATGTCACTTGGATTCCCCGGGCAAATGGTGGTTCTCCAATCACCGCCTTCAAGGTCGAATATAAACGGATGAGGACCAGCGATTGGCTGGTGGCAGCTGAAGATATCCCTCCTTCCAAGCTCTCTGTGGAAGTTCGTAGTTTAGAACCAGGTAGAGATACACAAACATTTCCCTTCTTCTTTCCTTTTTAAAATGTTGTCAGTGCTAACTTTAGTTGCTATTTTAATGGCCTTATTTCTTTTCCTACTTGTTAAAGAAAGTAATGTGTATTACATAAAAATTTGAAACTAAAATATGATGAGGAGAATAAGTCATCTGAAATTCACCTTTCTAGACCAATTAGCCTTTATATATTTTGATATATTTCTTTTAACCCTTTAGCATACCCAGGAACTCATGCCATGAAAACTATTGTTTTTATTTATTTTTATTTATTCTAGTAGTTGTACAAAGAGGTTGTAATTCTACAAGTGAGATCATGAGTACAGTGCATCTTGATCAATGCCATCCCTTCTATCATTCTCCCCCAAGTTACATAGTTCAACTTTTACATAATGTACATTGACTATGACTGTGTCCCCACCATTATATCATATGTATTATCCAGATCATTTAAAATGCTTCAAAAACTCAGTCCTTAATTTACATGTCTACCTTAGCCATGATTTTGTTTTTTGTTTTGGTTTTTTTGCAGGGGTGCTGGGTTTTGATCCCAGGGTCTTAGTGAAGGCTAGGCAAGCTCTCTACCATTAAGCTACAACCTTATCCTAAACTGTTCTTCATTTCTAGATTTTAAATTACGTCTACATATTTGCAATTACATGGTGAACATCTTTGTGTGTGTGTGTGTGTGTGTGTGTGTGCGCGCGCACACACACACACACGGATATGTTTTCCTAGAACATTTTAAGAGAAAAATGGTTATTTGGCTATAACTATTTGATTCTCAGCAGTTGAGCCAGTGCTTTGTCTTAGGGAAAGGATGCACTTAATACTTGTTGGCTCTATAAGTTTTATTTTAGCAGAAGATCCTAAAGTTTGTTTCTGGACTTAGGTTTGTATGCTACTAGCCAAGGTAACCAGATAACAAGAGAAACATGGGGATGCCTAGGTATGATGGGAGAATGAAGGCAGAAGTTTTAATGTAGGTGAAATGAAGTAATATTATTCCGACAGACAATGTCTTCAGAAGCCGAGTGACAAGGAAACTTCCTTTAGTATTTTTAATTTATTCTTTAGATTTTTCAAGAATTGTCGGTAGCCTCTTTCCTTAGTTCTTAATGTCTAAGCCGAATTAATTCCTTGTGTTATCGTTTAAATCTGATTCCTCATAGTCCTCTTTGGAATCAGGATGGTGACTGCTACCGCCTTGCTGTGCCTCTTGATACATGCAGTCAACACATTAAACTTCACTCCAGTTGTTTCTTTCAAAGTGAAAAGAATCTAGTTTTAGAGACAGATACTTCAAACTACTTCAAATTATGATTTGGAATGGAATAGCAAAAAGAATGAATGTTCTCTTTCCTATTCTCTCCCTGCCCCTTCCATGCGTACCATTCATCTTACATAGCATTATTTCCTTTACGGTCTTGAACACAAAGCATTGAACAGCTACTCCCAGTTGATTGAAGTTAGCAAGTAGGTTCAATCCATTGGCTGTAGGAGAGTATATAAGAGAAATATAGGGGCTGGGAAGGTGGCTCAGTGGTAGAGTGCTTGCCTTGAGCTGAAGAGCTGAGGGACAGCGCCCAGGCCCCACGACCGCCCCCCCCCAAAAAAAGAGAAATATAAACATAATTATCATAGTTTCATATCCTACCATCATATATCATAGTGTAGCTTCTTTCTTTTTTCCTATGCTAAAAATCAAATCTGAGACCTTGCACATGCCAGGCAAGTGCTCTATCATGGAGCTATATCACCAGTCATGATTATAGCTTTTTATAATAATGTGAGGGGATTTGTGTGTGTTTGTTTTCCTCCTAAAGGTTCAACATACAAATTTAGGGTCATTGCTATCAACCATTACGGTGAGAGTTTTCGGAGTTCAGCATCCCGGCCTTACCAGGTGGCTGGCTTCCCCAATCGTTTTTCCAACCGTCCCATAACTGGACCGCACATTGCATACACAGAGGCTGTCAGTGATACCCAGATCATGCTGAAATGGACGGTACGTAAACTTGTTTTCTAATGAGAATTCTTTCTGGCTTGGTCACATCAACAACTTCATATTCTCATGAAATGATACTATGAACAACCAATTATTGAACTTTTCATTGAGCCAAAGTAGAAGGGTATCAATTTATCTAAAAGCACATGTTTAAAAGGGGGCAGGTTAAAAAATACAATTATTGTTTCCTCTACTCTTATCCAAATGCTGTTAACTTAATTGCCATTTTGTGGCTTATTCATTATGAACCAAGTAGATGTTTATCTTTGAAGCTAGTAAAGTATATACTCACAAAAATACTTCTTTATTTTTGTTTAACCCTGCAGTAAAAGAAAATGCTCTTAATACCCTTAAATATCTTTGAATGAAGTTAAAAGTGGCCATTAAAGGTGCTTGCAAAATGAAGCTAGGACCATGTCACTATAGAAAAAAAATATTATTACTTTTGGGTTTAAAATTTTTTTCTTATAATTAATTTATTATTCTTATACAGGTGATGTATAGAGGGATTACAATTACATGAGTGAGGTAGTGAGTACAGTTTTTGTTTTGACAAGTTTTTACTTCTGTTTTTTAGTACATTCCATCAAGTAACAACAACACTCCCATTCAAGGATTTTATATCTACTACCGACCAACGGACAGTGACAATGACAGTGACTACAAGAGGGATGTGGTTGAAGGTGAGTCCCCTCAGCAAGCAGGGGTCCCCACAAAGGGGCTCTGGAGAACAGGGTTTGTAAGCATTATGAAATATATCATCACAGCTAAGATAAAGGCGGGGGGAATGAAATGCTATATGCATTAACCCTATTGAGTTTGTCTCAAAGAAAGCCAATTTGTTTCCAGTTTAACATATGTAGTATTAGCCTACATTTTTGTCATAGAGACATTTACAAAAGTATGGGAAGAAGGGTCAGTATGCTTCATCAGAAGTCCATCTGAAAAATGTTTGGATTTCTTTTTTCTTTTCAATTTCATTTTTATAGTTGTACAAAGGGGTTCCACTTCAACCTGTCACTGTATAAGGACAATGTATTTTGATCAGTGTCACCCTATGCATCATTCTCCTCCATCGGTCCCAACCCTTTGCATCTCCTCAGGTTCCCTAGTTTTATTTTCACTGACTATATGACTTCATTCACCGACCATTCCTGGTTTCTGTCATCTTTAAATGACCAATGAACTAAGTTTAAAACTTAATTTGAACTTCTAGATATGATTACCAGTAATATCTCATTAAAACTGTTTTCCTTGACATCTATGGTAGAAATTGGAATCTCTTGTAGAGAATAAAGAAAGCATTCAAGATGGCAAAAGGTGATTTCTACTGCATTTAAAATAGAATCCAGAATTTATTCTTTGTTTTCTTTATTTTTTTTTCATGCTGGACATGGGCTTGAACTCAGGGGTCTGGGCACTGTTCCTGAACTTTTCTCCTCCAGGCTAGTGCTCTACCACTTGAACCCACAGCTCCACTTCTAGCTTTTTGATGTTTAATTGGAGATAAGAGTTTTATGGACTTTCCAGAAAAGTCCTGGCTATATATTTCCTGCTGGCTATAAATTTTGATCCTCAGATCTCAGTCTCCTGAGTTGCTAGTATTACAGGCATGATCCCCATTTATTTATTTTTTTTAATTTAATTTTATTTTATTTGTGAACATACTGTACAGAGGGGTTACAATTGCATTGGCAGGATAATGCGTACATTTCTTACCAAGTATTGCAGCCTCCTCCTTTGTTTACTCTTCACATCCCTTCCCAGCCTCCCCCCCCCCCCCCAAATCCCAATCCTTCCCCTCCCCCCCCCCCCCCCCCCGCACCGACGTTGTAAAGCTCATTTTGGACATGACAACTTGTACTTCTCATTGTTGCAACAGGTCCACCTGTATCCTTAAATGATCCCCATTTATAACCCAGAGTTTTGCATATGGTCCAATGACTCTGCATCCTAGCTGGCCCCTATTATCCTCCCCTCCCTACCCCCAAACTGCATCTCCTGCACCTTCCTCATTGGGGCCTGGTTATACCAGTTTTCTTTCAGATTCCTCCTGCACCAAGATTACATTGTTGTTTTGTTTTTGCTTTTCTACCTCAAGACCTTGGTACATAGTAGTTCCTGGCACTTACTGTACCCCTCTCCTAACATTTTATCTAGGTACAACCATTTAGTTCTTTTGAGGGCGTAAATGTCACTTCCTTAGACAAATTTTCCCTGAAGTTCCACCCAAAAGTGAGCCCTTCATGTTTACTTTGTAGAATCAAACGTATGAGAGTGAATACTTGAAATTCTTTACTTAACTATTGTCTCTCCTTCTTGTGTTCACTTCCTGTGGGCCTGGAACTTTTTTCTTTTCCACTACTGCATCCCCATCCTCTTTAATGGTGAGGTGTTCAGCATTGAATGAACAAATGAGTGGATGAATGAATGAATCTGATTGGAGTCCCAAAAGAGCAGTGTAATGTCTAGTAATGATCAGGGTGGAAAAAAGACAACAGAAACAAGATAGCTGTCTTCAAATAGTTAAAGACAGTTATATGGAAGAGGAGCTAAATCCATTGGAGAAAGGTACAAGGAAATAATGGAAAGAAGAAATTTCTAACATAGATATCTAGGTTTCCTCATAGAGCAATAGATTCTAATTTTGGAAGTGTTCAGTAGAAGCTAGATGTATAATTCTTAGTAATAGTTTGGATGAGATTCTTGCTTTGAAAGAAAGATACCCTCCAAGGTCTTTTATTCACTCCAAGATTCTGCTTCTTTGAAATATTCCATGTCTTGGCTGAGTGTGTAGCTCGGTGGTAGAGCAGTGCTCAGCATGTGGGAGGCCCTGGGTTAGTTTCCAGCTGGGAAAAAAAAATGTAATAGATCATGTCAAAAAGTTGCTGTGGGCCAAGATAAGTTTCCATATGACTTGTTGACATCACATACCTCATTTGGTTTTTGTTAAAATAATTTACCTTAAATATGCGGTGCCATATTTTCCTAAGTATTATGAGTTTTTTTTGTTTATTTTAGGGTTTTTTTCATGTTTAGTCAATGGAATAATTTTTGTAGTGTGAAAAGTTTATGATCTGAGTTTTTATACTGGGGACATAGTAGGTATTCAGTAAATAGTTTTGAATGGGGTAAGGGTTGCTTCTCTCCTGCCATAATTTTTAATGAGTAAGCTCTTTTGTGCTCTTAAAAATCAAGGTCCATGGCTTCCCTTATTTGCAATAACTAGTATATGTCTGAGTCAAGCAGAAAAAGTCAGATAAGATTATGTTAGGGAAATGAACCCTAAGATATGTATTCAAATGTTTTTTTTTTCTTTCAGGTGATTGTTTCTAACACATTTATAAGATTATTTCTTTGTTGCTTTGTATGTCCCTCCCCCACGGTATAACCCCTGCTTTCACTGTATTTGATGTTGTTATAATTTGTGGAGGGAAAGGGAAAAAACAAATCATTTAAATAGGGATACAGGTGGACCCATTGCAACAATGACAGGTACAAGTCGTTATGTCGAAAACAAACTTTACAACTTTGGTGGGGGGAGGGAATGGTTGGGGAGGTGGGGGAGGATGGGATGGGAAGGGTAAACAAAAAAGGAGGCTGCAATGCTTGATAAGAAATGTACTCATTATCTTGCCCATGTTATTGTAACCCCTCTGTACAGTATTTTCACAATAAAAAAAAAAAATCAAGGTCTTGAGCCAGAGAAATGACTAGAAGGAACATGAAAGGGACATGGGAATGCCGTAAATTGGGTCAAAGTATATTATATATATGTATGGAAATAACACGGTGAAGTCCCATTATATATACATGTATGGAAATAACATGATGAAAACCCTTTGTACAAGTAATATCCATACACTAATAATAAAATAAATAATATATTTTTTAAAATAGAAAAAATAAAATTAAAAGGAAATGGAAAAGTAATTTTTGTGACTGGGCTGCATTTTAGCCCTATTCAAGTCTTCATTTTAGTTTACCTGACTTAAAAGAAGTGAAGGTGTCAGAATTTTTTTTAAATTTTGACAGTAGTTAAACATTTGTCATAAAATGGTTCTAAACGAGGTGAACATAAATAAAACAAATAACCGTCTCATTTGTTGTCTCTTTGTCTGTCTCTCCCCCACCCCTTCCTAGTTATACTCTCTAAGGTTTACCACTTATAAACAGTCTTTAAACTATGTTGTCTAGGAAAATCTTTGAACTTTTAACACCTGTGATTTGAATACTGAGCTTGGGACTTGAAAATTCATGTAACAGTCCTGTTGTATCTAGTAGTAGTGTCTACAGATGTGAATTTTGCCTATGATTCACAGGGAATGGGTTTATAAATGTAATACGCTGAGTAGTTAAGATGTTTAAGTGGGCTTCACTGTGCTGTATAATTTGCTTATTCCTTATTTTCACGTTTATGCATTTGAAATTCTTTTTGTGGCAGTTGAAACTATTGGTCTATTCCTAGGAACAAAAATATTCATTCTTTGTACCTAAAATATTTTTTAAAGTTTTTAGTATACTTATATGTCTTGATTCCAAATTATAACTTTCAAAAATGAAACTGTTATAAAAGAATGCAGTAAAAGAACAGTTATTTAAGTTATTCCATCTTCTAAATTAAGTCCTATGTTTAGGTAAACAATAAATGTTTCCAGCATACCAATGCTTTTGTGTTGAATACTTTTATCATATAAAGTTAAAAGGTTCCACATGAGTCAAAATAAGAAAGCTTATTATGTTGTTTTACATCTGTACTTTTGGTTCTTTCTGTGGTAAGACCTTTTTCTAGAATGTCCTTTGGGGAAATAATTGCTTGTTTAGCAGAAGCTATATGTGGATTAATTGCTTTTAAGCCTAGTAATGTACTTAGTTGTTTTATTTATCGATGTCTTCTCTTGGCTGATATATACTGCAATTTTACCCACTAGAAGAATTGTTATAATACTGGAATATGAATCTGACAATATATATATATATATAAATATATATATTTAACTATTTTCTCTTGGTAACAGATCAGAAGCCTAGTTTAAATTTCATTTTTATTAGTACTATGAAAGGAAAATTTCAAGTCTAGTGGAGTAATTATTCAAGAGCATGTTTATAGTAGGTGAGTGTAGGACCAGGTTAGGAAAGACCTAAGGCTAGAGTAAAAATAGAAGTCTTTGGGGGAAGGATTTTTAGAAATAGGCTTATACTGGTTTCAACTAGTTTTTTAATTTAAAAAAAATGGTGGTGGGAGGAGGATCTTTTAACATTTTATAAATGAGGCATAGAATTCCTCCCTTCTTGAGCCTCGTAGAGACCCTTGATCCTAAAACAAGCAGATTTTTTTTCTCCCTTATAAAATAGGAGTTGGTGTAAGTGAGGGGTTTTGTGCTGGTGATGTGGAAAGGGGGTTGAAATGTTTTTGTCTGTGTTGGATTAGAAAGGAGCCTGTGATACTGGCCCTGCCAGCCAAGTAGATTTGACTTAGGTGTGTGGTTTTGTTTTGTTTTCTCCCTCTTTAATTAATTCTTAAATCAGCTGGTGGTATACTTGAATTTCTAAGAAACAGTAGAAACAGTTTGAAGACTTGTTTTCGAAGGGGGATTAAGAGTGCTTGAAGAGTTAATTAAATCTGGCAAAAAAACCTGTGCCTGTTTATGAAAGTTGGTCACAAGTCCATGGAAGTGAAAATGGAGAGTGCTCGGTTTGGGAGTGTTTCTAAATGAAATGTTGGCCGTGTGCCACGGATAACAGAATCGTTCTGTTATATACTCATGTGACTGGGAGACCCTGACTCAAAGACCCACTGAGCTCTGTGGGACTGGGAGCAGAAGCTTGAGTGTCTCCTAGTGGAATTTGCTTTTTTGTAGATTCTGAGCAACACACACACACACACACACACACAGAAAATGCTTAGAGGAAATACGTCTTTATCCCATCAACACAACATAGATGATGATGGATGTTGCTCCTATGGGGTAATTACCTCGACTTTGTCATTTACATTGTGTGATGTGTGAAGCCTGGGTTTTATTTCTCTTTTCTAGGTTCAAAGCAGTGGCACATGATTGGTCATCTGCAGCCAGAAACTTCTTATGATATCAAAATGCAGTGCTTTAATGAAGGTGGAGAGAGTGAGTTCAGCAACGTGATGATCTGTGAGACAAAAGGTAATTTCAGAAGGTTGCGAATCTATGGTTTCTTCCTAGTCCAGAGCTAGAATTCTAATCTCTGCATTACTTCTTCAGACTGTTGGTGTATCTCCCTAAGGAAATTTCTTCTTTGGACCATTGGCTGGATTTGTGCATTCAGACTATACCCACAGAAGTTTAATTTGTTGACTGCATAAGAACTAATCCTTTTCATTCATTTCTTTGTGATTCACTAAATCATGTTCCTTCTCTTTGTCTCCATGAAGAGAGTAGAAATATTTGTTGGCTACTTGCTGAGATTTTGAGAATTATGATACTAACAAAACTTAACATGAGTATTAAGGAAGAATGAAGAATAAATAGTGAATCATTCCGAAGGATTTACTCACGAGTAATCATGTTCTTTCATGTGGGATGTAGAAGACCCATTTGCCTCAGAAACTTTTTGATTTCCTTAGGTTTGACCTTAGAATTTTATAATCTGACATATCGTCTAGCGTGGTTATGACTTAACCAACCTCTCTGAGGTCCCCTTCTTAAGGCTTTCATAACAACAGTTAGATTGCAACATGAGTTTGGGAGAAGACAAACTGCTGATAGAACTCTTTTTACTGTCCTCATTTCCCAAATGTCAAAACTGGGGTTTATGGAGGTAAAAAGTAGATGGCTGGTTGCAAATGGAGCTGAGTTCAAATCTAAGCAGTGTGGTTCCAGGGACTAGGCTAGAACCTCACCCTGCAGCTTTCAAGTAACATGTAGAAGAACAGTAGGAACATGTATTTGGGGAAGAGAGAGAATAGGATTTGAGTTCCACTTGTTAAGTAGATTTTGGAATTTGAATTGCCCAGTTGCCCAAATATGTGACCTTCAAAAGTCTTGGCTTTGAGGAATATGCCAAATATTATACATGCAGTTTTGGGAATCATATATAGTTGTACTGATAGGTTACAGCCATATCTTCTGGTATTGGTTGTTATTTTAATACACAGTAGGAGTCTAGAATATGTAATGCTGGGGCTTGCTACGAAATGTATCAGATGGAAAGAGATTTCATTCCGCTGCTTATTTTATTTCAGCTGCTTGGGAGTCTCTACAAATACAATTAAGCAGTAGAGTAGGGTTAGACCAAGTGTATATTGTTTCTTTGCTCTTATTATTGCTCTAAAATCTGTGGACTAAAACTAAGGTACCCTCCAGTTTTAAGCTTTGGAGCCATCCTTGTGAGTCATTGTTGATCAGATCGTCTCAGGAAGGAGTGTAAACAGACTGGTTCACATTCCTAAGCCAGACCTCCTTCAGAGAGGAAACTGTCTCACAGACTCTGTATTCATCCTGACATCATGGTTTTCTTTATATACTTAACTAGTGAAACGTGTTCCTGGAGCTTCTGAGTATCCTGTGAAGGACTTGAGTACCCCTCCCAATTCCTCTGGAAGCGGAGGAAATATTGGGCCTGCAACCAACCCTGCCCGAAGCAGTGACATGTTGTACCTGATTGTTGGCTGTGTGCTGGGCGTCATGGTTCTCATTCTCATGGTCTTCATTGCAATGTGCTTGTGGAAGAGTCGCCAACAGAACGCCATACAGAGTGAGCCATTCATAAATATCACCTTGTATTTTCTAATGAGGAGTAGAAAAAAAATTACTGTCAGAATAAATATGGATCCCTAACACTTTCTTGTACTAGGGACCATGGTATGAAACCTGTCTGATACTCTTCATTCCAAGGAAATAACTTGAAAATAATTCTGTCAGCCAAAGGATGTGGAGCATCAAATTAAATTGCCCAGTAGAAACAAACACTAAAACGCCCCAACTAAACAGGTCTCTAAGTAAATAGCTGACTTGGTACTGGGACAGTCTGGCTTTGTCAGACCACCAAAGTGGATGAGTTCTTGAGGTGTGAGCTCTGTAGTCACCTAGGAACATCTCCATGCTGTGGAATCTGGTCAAGGTTAACAGGGGATAGAAATTGCCTGATGGAAAGGAACACAGTAAAGTAATGAAGATGTTGCTAAGCTACTGTCCCTGAGTGACACAGCTGGAAAAACAAACAAACAGTTCCGTCCTTGTATCCACTGTATGCTCTGCAAGTGTGCGTGCAGGGGGCATGCTAGCACTGTTTTGACACTAATAATCTACCTTTCCTGTCACCACAACTATTATATAGTAGGATAGTCAAATCAAGGTGGGATTTTTTTCCTACTTCAATGAGAAGGTTATTTGGTTTCCCTTTGACCCCAGAATAAAGGAATAAGAGAAATGCAAGAGAACGCCAGAAGTGGCTTCTATCAGTTCTACATGTGTTTAATAGTTCAAGAGAAATAGCGATGTGTTGTGCTTTGGTGATGCTTCCAAAAGGTAGATGGAAAGAGAGGTGTTGGTGTCAGGCTGAAAGGCTTATAACTGTTTAATGAATCATTAGGAGAATCATTAAAAGTATTACTGTTGTTTCCTGAGCAAGATGAATCTAGTTAAAGTTGTTCTTCTTAGAGATCTGAAAAACGATTTAAAAAAAGTTTTTTGAGACTGGGACTCTAACTTGGTCTCTGATACTTTCACTCGTTGGCTGATGTTGTATTGCCTGAGCCACACCTCCACTGAAAATACGATTTTAAATGGAAAATTTCTGTAAGATTGTTCACTCATTCCAGGAAGGTTTTCTTCCGTATGTCCAGACACTTTGCTGGACTTTGATGATAAATAAAGTAAAAATGCGCCTTGCTCTCTCAAAGGACGTAAGCTAATGGAGAAGATAGGCAGATATTCTGACAATTACACACCTGTTGAAGAAAAGCATAGGAGGAAGAGAAGCTATAGAGGAGGGCCAGGCGTGGTGGTTGCTAATACCTTTGAAGAATTTATCAGAACCCTGACAACAAATCCTGTACATTTTATATATTGTAATTTCCAAAGGATTTCTTATCTGATAGTTGTACCTCTGGAAGTCAGAATGTATTTAAATGCTTTTAATATAAGGAAATAGACTAGTTCTTTGCCTTTGATAGCACACCACCTTCCAGAGAGTTGTAATGACTAAAGAGCTCCCTGAACATGTCATTAGTGAATGAACATGGCACTCTCCTCTTACTTAAAAGTGTCATTTATTGCTGCTCAAACTATGCTACCTAAAGCTAATCTTTTGTAGTTGTTCAACAGAGTCTTTTGTCAGTTCTTTGAAGTGTGTAGGAATTGAAGCACTTTTTCTTAGCATTGCCAGTAGTTGGATATCGTCTACTTACAGTTTATTCGTTCTCTACTGACTGTTTTTTTTTGGGGGGGGGGTCCAGTTGTGAGGCCTGAACTCTGGGCCTGGGCGCTGTCCCTCAGCTCTTCAGCTCAAGGCTAGCACTCTACCACTTGAGCCACAGCACTACTTCTGGCTTTTTTCTTTTTGCTTATGTGGTGCTGAGGAATCGAACCCAGGGCCTCACACATGCAAGGCAAGCGCTCTACCACTGAACCACCTTCCCAGCTCCTATTGACTGTTTTTCTATGGTTAATTTTTCTTCTATTAACAATCATAACAGACTCAAGTTTCCTCCCCATTGTCAAGAGAAAAAAAAAACCAGAGTAACTTTATTAAAACTGCTGGAAGATTTTTTAGAATGCCTTCTCTTTTTTTTTGGTCATGGGGCTTGAACTCTAGGCCTGGGCGCTGTCCCTCAGCTCTTCAGTTAAGAAGAGCTAACCACCTGAGCCACAGTACCACTTCCAGCCTTTTCTGTTTATATGGTGCTAAGGAATCGAACCCAGGGCCTTATGCATGCCAGGCAAGCACTCTTCCACTGAGCTACCTTCCCAGCCCTAGAATGCCTTAAAAAAAAGTAATCCTATTTGTAATTTCTTAGGGGTTTCATTAATAGAACTTCCTTAGCAAGGAGGTTATTTCAGTATTTGACTTTGTATTACTTTTGTTCTCTTAACAGAATATGACCCACCAGGATATCTCTACCAAGGGTCAGATATCAATGGACAGATGGTGGAATATACCACTCTCTCACCCACAAATCGGATCAATGGGAATGTCCATGGAGGCTTCCTAGGCAATGGCAACCTCAGTAATGGCTGCTCCCATCTCCACCACAAGGTCCCTAATGGAGTCAATGGAATCCTGAATGGGAATTTAAATGGAGGGCTTTATTCTGCACACACAAACTCGCTAACGAGAACGCACATGGAGTTTGAACATTCTCATCATCTAGTGAATGTAAGAGACTTGATTATAAATAATAGCTTTGCTCTGCCTCCGGTGCTAAGCTACCAGAACAGGGTCAGCAGATTTGACTTTCTTCAATGGAGAAACCTTGCAGGTTCACAGGGACGCAAATGGTATTTAGCACTACCAGCACCCAAACAGAGCAATCTTGATCATTCTGCTCTCATTAGGTAATAGTTACATTTGTTAGCCTGGTGTCTATTTTTTAAATTATTTAACATCGAAATGGAATCCCAGTGAAAAACAGGTCCAGAGTTCTTGTCATGATGAAGAAGAAATGCCACTAGCCCATACCAGATGCTTGACATTTTATTTATGTGGAGTTTATTCTAAAAACCCAAATGCTGAGAAGTCTGGCTGATGGGGAAACTTGATTACAGCAAGCTGGGAACAAGACCATTGGTTTTTTGTTTTTGTTTTTTTTGGTCCAGTTGTGGGGCCTGAACTCTGGGCCTGGGCGCTGTCCCTCAGTTCTTCAGCTCAAGGCTAGCGTTCTACCACTTGAGCCACAGCGCCACTTCTGGCTTTTTTCTTTTTGCTTATGTGGTGCTGAGGAATCGAACCCAGGGCCTCAGGTATGCAAAGCAAGCGCTCTACCACTGAGCCACCTTCCCAGCCCGGAACAAGACCATTGGAAGAGAGCAGCATGCTATATTGTTAACCCTATGAAAGAAGCAGCTAGAATGCAGTACCTATGTTGCCATCAGGGTGGAAGACCAGTATCATTATGTTTTCTGATTCTTCAAAACATCTATAATTCTAGGTGAAATTACCAGATGTATACATGCTGGGATCTAACCCAGTTTTTGGTTTTTTTTCCCCTATACTGAGTGTCAAACCCAGGCCAGGCCACATGGTAGGCAAGTGTTGTACCATTGAGCGACAACCCTGAAACCCAGAGTTTTGACAGTGTTATGTAGACCATGCAAAACATCCCTGTAAACTACCAGATTGTGACGTCTAGACGTGTTGAGTTTGTTTTTCACAGTGTGTTTTGTTGTAGTGGTTTTGTGCAATTTTAGAATGGTAGTATTCTTTAGCTGCCACAAGGAAAGGCAAACACTTTAAAAACTCCCTGATTTTAGAGATAACTCACTATTTATTTTGAAATGAGACTAGAATGACTAGTATATTTTAGGCTTATACCTGTTTAAGGTTTCTCTGTACTAGGAAGTTAATTATATTCTTTGGATGTGAACCCACATTATTTTTTATCATAGATAATTTGTTTAGTTGGTTGAATTAAACATTGTTCTGACTTCAGAGAAACTTGCCTTCACCCACAATTAGAAGCTTACAGGGTGATTTTTTAATCTCAATTTTAATAAATTTTGTAATTTTATAATAATAAATAATTATAATAAAAATAATAAATTTTATGAAAATATTGCCTTAGGAAAACAAAACTGTAATACAAGGATTTATATCATAAAGCTAGAAACCTACGGCTTTTATGTGACTGAGTTTTTGTATGTTATACAAAAAATATCTAATTTGCTTTAATGTATCTCATCACCAAAGGAGAATGATGGTTTCATTATTTTGTGGAGGAGACTTTCTAATCTTTTTTTTTTTTGGTCACCAATTCTGTCTATAAACTACTAACATATCGGAGAAGGTCAGGGAGAAAGCATTAAGGTTTGAATAAGTACATGCCGTTTCATAAGAAAGCAAAGTAAGACTAATGTTTGTTTTGAACAGAGAATTTTGTGTTTTCTGAACAATGCCTTGCTATTCCAATAATTGTTGCCCTATTAGGTATATAACTTTAGAACTTATCTGTGATTTTAACCCATTCATTTTCTTACTCTTCTCTCCCGGGTGGGAGAAAATGAGGACTTTTTTTTCAAGTGCCAGTGATCATTAAAATCATTGAATTAACTTTCACTGGCTGGAATAAATATACCATCTTGCTAGACGGGTTTATTCTTCATTCTCTGAGCCTTTAGAGCCTGCCCTCTCTGATTGCATATACTATAGGAATACTCTTTCTCTCCATGGATCAGAAATGCTAGAGCAAATTTCAGTCTTTTGGTTTGCTCCGATTCTGGCTGTTGTTAGGAGATGAATGGAAATGGAAAGTATTCCAGGGAAAACAATTGCTTGAACTTTTCCTAACCTTGAAGGCCTGCCTCTGGTCAGGGTGCAGTGGGACAACTCTCACACCCTTATCAAATTCACTTCTGCTCTTTGTCACCAGCAAGCAGAACTTTGACTCTGAGGCCAGTTCAGGTTTTAACTTCATATTTGCCGTTCTGTATATCAAGTGAGCACTTTACAATGAGGTATGTGTTAATCTGGGCATTTTCTTTAATGGCTAGGCGGTTTCCGCCAAAAGCAACAGCAAAATATTAATACTGCCCTCCAAGTCTCTGCTGGCTGAGAATCAACTCCATCTGGAAAAATATGACATGTCTTAAAACTTAGTGTAGTCAAGTGAACAGCACTAATCGAAATAATTACAGGAAAATGAAGATGAGATGAGTTTGTGACATCATACTAACAGACTTCACGCCCTGTCACTCCCAACTAGCATCACATCACATTTTTCCATGACTGCTAAGAAAGAAAAAAAATGAATAAGAGGTTATGATCTGTGCTGTATTTTGGGAGCTAGTAGATTTGAACCTCTACAGGGAAATGACTAACCTCCTCCCTTCATTTATTTGCCTTTCTCTAGGACCGAAATGCATGAAAAAAGAGAGTAGTAAAGTGTTTGGAGTACAGTTTAATATTGTGAAGAATAAATAAGAAGCATAGCATTGCTCAGAGAGTTGGTTAAAATGTACCATGAACTTATTGATTATGGACATGTATTTGTGATTCATTGGCCAGTGGTCTATGACATTCAGCTATGTTCTCTCTCTCTCTCTCTCTCTCTCTCATTTCCTTCCTGACTAGGGTGGAGGAGTGTACACAGCAGTCCCTCAGATTGACCCTCTGGAATGTGTTAACTGTCGAAATTGTCGAAACAACAATAGGTATGTTAATATGTACCAGAACAAAGTGGCATAAGGCATATGTTTTCCTTCCTGTTCTTTTCCTGCAGCAAAGGAAAGTCTTAAAATGTTGCCTAAGGTATAAGATACTTGCAGTCTTAAATTCAGGGCCATTGTTACTTTCTGCTTTATAATTTTGATCTTTCCCTGCCTGGCTTTCTTTACACATAGCCTGACAATATTTAAGGCTTTGTTTCTCATGGAAATGATATTCAAAGGAAGAATCATTCTCTACATACCGCCATAATCTTTTCTTACCTATTATTTTCCACTCTATGTGTTGGGATATTAATAAATGAGCCTATGTTTGACCTCTAAGGAAAAAAACTCCACAACTCCTGTGTACATAATATTTTCATAGTAACATTACTGATTTTTTTTACTAGATTATTCATTTTAATTGCTAAAATCTTAGGGTTAAGTAGCAAAACCTTGCTGATTTTTAATTATTTATTTTAAATTTTAAAGTGATATAGACCCAGTATTTGATACAGGATAGAATTGTATAGAGGAATGTGTGTATTTCAATTTTCACATGGAGAAACTAGATACAGTGGTACCATCCTAGCAACCAGGAGGCCGACACAAAAGGATCACCAGTTTGAGGCCAGCCCAGGCTATATGGTGAGTTTAAAGCCAGCCTGGACTACATAGTGAGAACCCATCTCAAAAGAACAAACAGATGGGCTGGGAAGGTGTCAGTTGGTAGAACGCTTGCCTTGCATGCATGAGGCCCTGGGTTCGATTCCTCAGCACCACATAAGCAAAAAGAGAAAAGCCGGAAGTGGCGCTGTGGCTCAAGTGGTAGAGCGCTAGCCTTGAACTGAAGAGCTGAGGGACAGTACCCAGGCCCAGAGTTCAGGCCCCATGACCGGACCCAAAAAAAATAAAAAAATAAAAACAAACAAACAGACAAAATAAAAACACAAAACAAATAAACTTCAACACATAGAAAGCTTTTTATGCTACCACTTGTTATTTGAATTCCAAAGGATTATTAAGCTTCTAAAAGTTGTGTCAGAAATCTTGATTCACTATTCAGCATAATAATGACACTGGATTCTAATTCTATACCTAAAAAGACATCATTAGTACAGAAAATATTTGGAGTCTGGATTGCAGTTTGGATATTTCATGATTGAAAAAGGGTTTGAACTATATTTTAAAAATAAATTTAAAGACCAAGTTGTCTCTCTCTGAGAGTTATTCACACCAGAATTTCAAGAAAGATCTGGTTAATTGTAGAATTAAATGTACATTGTTTTGGCTGGGTACTGTGGCTCACACCCATAATCTCAGCAACTTGAGAAGTAGAGATCAGAAAGATAGAGGTTTAAGCAAAAAGTTACCAAGACTTTTTGTCAACAAATAGGCCAGGCTTGGTGGAATATGTCTGAATCCCAACTGTGCTAAGGCCCCATGTTAGATGATCCCAGTTTAAGGCCAGTCTGGGACAAAAAGTTGAGATTGTAGAGACTTTTTGTTAGCACTTACTTAACCTGTTGAAAAATTCCTATATTATCTAGAACCATCTCCCTGTTTTATGTATTAAAATTTACATGTTGGGGCTGGGAAGGTGGCTTAATGGTAGAGTGCTTGTCTTGCATGCATGAGGCCCTGGGTTCAATTTTTAAGCACCACATAAGCAGAAAAAGCTGGAAATGGAGCTGTGGCTCTAGTGGTAGAGCTCTAGCCTTGAGCTGAAGAGCTGAGGGATAGCGGCCCCGCCCAGAGTTTAGGCCCCATGACTGACCAAAAAAAAAAGTTACTTGTTAGGTATTTAATTTCCAAATGACTTTCAATTTTAAAATGTTCATACATGCAAGCCATGTCTGAGCTTGTCACAGATTACCACATTTGGATAGGTAACATGCTAATGAACACAAGCTGCTCCTACACTTGGTCAGTGATCAGATGGATTCCTTATAACAGATGGTTTTCCCTGGATTCAAACTAGATTGTTCTCATGGCCATCAGCAGATGTTGCCTCTCCCTACATATTAGAATGGTATAATGAGAAGACCTTTGGTCTAAGAATAAGAAGTCCTGGGCTTTGCTGCTTCTTAAACCTCTGATATTTGGGGAAGTTATATAGCATCTCTGAAGCTATATAAAAATGAAAAGAATGCCCCAAGTAATATAAAATTGCACCCACCATAATCTAATTGTAGACTTTGGTAAAGATGTGTCTTTATGATAAAATACCATCTTATTACTAAAAATACTCTCCATTTCCTTAAAAGCATTTAAGCAACCTTTGTCATCTTGAATTTGTGGCCATTTGTATGTATGGAAGTATAAGTACGATCATGTACTAGGATTTACCTTCAGAAAGCCTACAGTTAGTAATGGTTCTCAGGGCAAGAAATATAATGAATAGAGTTCAAAGAAGCATGGTGAATCTTATAATTTTACATGTAAAACAGAAAAAAACCTTATTTTTGTAATAAACAGCAGAAGAGTATGCGATTTTTACATTAATCAAAAGCAAACTCTGGCCTAGTAACATCCATCCTGATTCATGTGAAGCTTTCTGAGAAGGAAGTCGTGTTTTTGCTCAATGTATGGTAGGCATGTATAGCTTAGATTGAAGGAAAGAGACCAGGTAGATATCACTGTAAGGAAGGCTTTTGTATACACACTGGTCTTGGGGTCAGGGTGTAGATGGAGACTAAAATAGATATTTAGGAACATTTGTATGCAAGTATTCAGATTAAAAAACAAATAAGATCATCCAGAGGCAATAACCTGGCTGATTATTTTTATATATTTAGTCTAAGACTTAATTTACTTTTATTTCTGCATCTTTACTGTGATTAGACATTTTCATAAGGTATCTTACTATTTTTTTTACTTACTTCCTTGATATATCGCCAAAGAATAAAAGAGGAGAGAAAGAGAGCTGTAAAATAAGGAGAGTGAGAAGGAAAAAGACAATTCATTTATTTGTTCACCCAGCAAACATTGGCAAAGGTCTATAGTTACCAGTGCTAAACTGGATGCAGCAGACATAGCAGTGAGCCAGAGAGATATGCCCTTGCCTGCATGGCACTTAGAGTTTGGTTTAGGAGAAGACATACCTTTCTCACAAATGACATAAATCAGAACTGTGGATATACAATTAAAGTTAGATGCTTTAAAGGAAAAGTCAGGGAGGGTATGTTAGAGAGGAAAGACCTCCCTAAGCAATGACATTTTTTGCTAATCTCCGAAGAATTTGTAAAATCAAGTAAAAGAGGAAGGGATAGGTTTGGAGCTTTCCCAGCAGAGAATTCTATTTATTCCAATCTCTAGTAATGCAGAATGCTTAAAGCCCCAGAGAATCTAAAGAAGGCGGATGTAGAAGGGACTGAGGAAATGAAAGGTGCAGAGGTCAAAAGGGAGAGAAATCACATCACTCAGAACCATGTTGAGTGAGTGATTCCTGATTCCTCAGGATAGCATCATGAGAAGACTGGTTTCTAAGAACACTCTGGATACCATTTGAAGGGAGGGGAACAGTGTGGGGACAGTTAGGATAGCAGTTGTAATAGTCCAGATGAGAAATAGTGAATTAGGGTAGTTGAACATGTGGAGACAACATGAAGAATTAGAGAGATTTAGAATTTAGCAGTAGATAAGTTTGGGAGATTGAAACAAAAATAAAAATTAGAGTAATTGGAAGGGGAGGGTAGTGGAAGGAAGAGTCAAGGATGGATCTAGGTAGTTGGATGCAATCACTGAGCTAGGAAACACTACAGTGATGAGTGATTTACCCAATAGTGTCTTGTGTGGCCCACCCCTTTAGATGTGACGTTGCCCCGATCAAACTCATGTTTCATGTCCCATCGCTGCCCAAACACTCATCAGGTCTCCCTTACAGTCCTTCCTACACGGACCCTTACCTGGACTGGGTCCTGTTGCTCCAGTTTCCTTTCTCTCTACCTCCTCAGGTTTAGACGTGAATGTATTTCTTTGAGTGGACTTTTAGGAAGCAAGTCATTACCGACCTTTAGTCCCTTTTTTAAGTCCTTATAGCTTAGGAATAGCTGTCTGGGGAGAAACATTGCCTGAGTTGTTGTATGAACTGGAGGAAGCATGACTGGAATAATAATTGAAGATGAGCAAGAGGAGAGGGTGGCAGTGTGGGGAAGTTTGATTTTACTCTACAGACTTGGTGGTATGTTATGAATGCCTGCCTGCCTGCCTGCCTGCCTCACTGGATTTCCTTAGCTGGAACCTTTTCAGGTTTTTAACCCAGTAAGTAAGAGTTCACTGTGAGAAGCTAGAAAGAAGCATATTTAATGGAACTTTGCAAGATGACATTTCCCTCTTTCTCAATTGAGAAATCTTTCTATGGGACAGGCATTTCAAGAATTAAACAAAGCTGGGCACTGGTAGCTCACACTTGTAATCCTAGCTACTCAAGACACTGAGATCTGAGGATCATGGTTCAAAGCCAGTCCAGGCAAGAAAGTCCGTGAGACTCTTACCTCCAATAAACTACTCAGAAAAAGCTGGAAGTGGAACTGTGGCTCAAACGGTAGAGCCTTGAACACAAAGAAGCTCAGGGACAGTGCCCAGGCCCTAAGTTCAAGCCCCATGACTGGCAAAAAATAAAAAAGTTATTAATCAAAACATCAAAAGCTGTCTGCCTCTCTCCTCATTTAGATGCAGTATTACAGCTCTGGATATGTAATCAGTGTGGTTTGTCAGTTGGATTGGCTAGTTTAATGCGAAGGGATTGACATTAAATGGGATCTGTTTGCCATCCGTCTTGATAGTTTGTTAAGAGAAAGTAGAGAGGACACTGATGAAATTCACAGATGAACAAACTAAGGTCCCATCGGGAAAGAACAAGAAATTAAGGGGCCTAGCGAGACTGGAAATGGACAGGAAGTAGCCAATCAAAACTTAGCTTGAAGAAATGTATATAGCGGGGGGGGGGGGGGGGGGGGGGGGGGGGGGGGGGGGGGAAGCCTGGGAGGGGGGGGGGGGGGGCCGGGAAATGTACAAGCTATGTGGCTGATAGTCAAGAAGAGAACAAAAACTCTTGGGAATAGCACTCTGGAATATATAGATCATACAAACCATCTCCAAGTGTTTTTGCAGTGACATCCTCAAAAGCCTGTGTGCTCTTACATTTGGGAGCTCCTTCACAACTGAAGCCACATGTGCTCCAATGAAAACTGGGTACAGAGATGAACAGAGAGTACTTTAGGGGTTCTTTCAGGCCAAGGATTTGATTTACTTAGTTGGTTTGTTAATTGCTCGGCATACCTTCACTCTTCCTTCTAGCAGATCAATTTGTTATTGCTGATTGTTTTGTATAAACTTAGTATCTTCCTTTTGAAGAAGTTATATATCTTCCTCATCTGTTTTCTGTTTCTTATATGAAGGCCAGGGATCTGTTGTCAGAGAGTGGTGCTTTGGGTCATTTATTTATTTGTTTGTTTGTCAGTTGTTTGGGGGTCAGTTTGCCACATTCACTAATGCACCCCAGTCTTGTTTCCCAGCATTTATAGTTACCTCCAGTGCAGTGGCCACTGGTAAATTAAGTCCCCAAAGGAAACTCCTAGTCTGATACTGGGCATTGTAGCTTCTAGCAGTTTGACAGTGAGAATGGAGGATGAGGCCTTGGAAGAATGTCATCAGGGTTCTACTTGCTCCCTACGTGAGACACAATGGCATGAGGAAACAGCAGAGACGAGCTGAATATTAAACCATCACCCAAATATAACTTTCAGAAGTCTCCCAAGTACCTGCATGAAAATAAACATCACGCATCCAAGAGATTCATAGTTAGTCCTTGCCCTCAGGATAATCAAAAGAGAGACTGTGGGCTAGTCTGCAGTTTAGTAGGATCACATGGATTCCATTCCCATGCATGGGTGTGTGTGCATGCACACACGCATGCATCCACACACAGACACACACACACACACTGCAAAACTTAAATAATGATTTAGCCTAATTGCAGTAACTCTTCATAATCAGGTTTAACAAATATTTAGCCATGTAATCAGACATGGAATAGTTCTCTAGCAAGTATTTCAGAAATAGCCAAAATATATTTAGTCAACTTCTAACTACCTTTGTTTTCCAAATACAATCCTGCATCTGTACTGTTCAGATGGTTAAATAATATTTTACTATTTTTTGTGTGATGCCATTTTCCTATCTTATAGGTTAGTCAGACAGGCCAAAAGATTTTCTTAATAAATTGATAGGTCCCAGACAACCTGAATTCTTAAAAAGTAGCACAGACTTTTGTGTATGATAAACCTGGTGTTTTCTGGTTAATTAGAGGTGGAGTCTGTGGACTTTTCTAACCCAGGCTGGCTTCCAATTTAGCTCCCAAGTAGCTCAGCCTCCCAAGTAGCTAGGATTACAGGTGTGAGCAAGCAGTACCTAGCAAGGTTCTGTTCTTATGATTTGCCTTTTGATGCATTCTCCTGCAGTATTCCACCGTAGCTGTAATTTTTGAGTTCTTGGTATTTCAAGGCATAATAATCATAAAGTCATTTTTAAGTACCAGTGTTCATTTAAAAAAATCTGTATATACAATACCAAATGCTATTTCAGATTCTAATTATTGATGCCCCTGAGACACTCCTGTTTCTTTGGTTTAAACTCTGCAGGTGTTTTACCAAAGCCAGCAGCACGTTGAGCAACAGTGCCCTCTCTGTGGTCCCCGTGGGAGCCCCTTACCCTCAAGACAGCCTGGAAATGAAGCCCCTCCGAGCCATGAAGATGCCTGTGTGTCTGGCTTCCACTGTCTCTGACTGTGGCCAGTTTCCTGAGGAGAGCTTCAAGGACAGTGTGGTACTAACACCTACCCAACACTCCTGCTGTCAGGACAACACAAATGATGTCAACTCTGAGTCCACAGAAGATGACCCAGCAGAGTTTAACAGAGGTACGGGAGGGTGTTTTAAACTATGGCTTTCTCAGTGGTCTCTGATGGGTTCACCTATTTCCTACAAGACAGAGTGAAAGTTTAGGAAACTTCAAGAAAAGATAGGTTGGATAAAGGATTATTTGAAATCCTATTATGACATCCTCACATCTCATGCTGTTAATCACATTTGAGATAATTAATAGACCCAAATAGGCTTGGGTTTTCTTTGTACCTGCTGAGAGAATGACACCTTTATGATATGAGGTGAGTTTGCTTGTTTGTTTGTTTTTTAATTTTGGAAGTACTGAGGTTTGAATTTATGGCCTTGCACTTACCAGGCAGACACTCAACTCGAGCCCTTTTTGCTATAGTTTTTTTTTTTTAATGGGGCCTTGCATTTATGCCTGCCTTAACCTACACCATGGTCCTCCTATTTATGCTTCCTAGATATCTGGCATGTATACCACATCCAGATTTTATTGCTTGAGATGGTATCTGGTCAATTTTTTGCCAAGGTTGGCCTGGAACTCTGCCTCTTGTAGCTATGGTTACAGGTATGAGCCACCATACCCAACTAAGCTTTCTTTAAGATAGTTACTTTAGAGTTTTTAGAGGTATTCAACCTAAAGACTTTTATGCTTTTTAAACCTACTGTCTCTCACAAATTTAAGCCAAATATAATTGGACTCTACTTTGGCTCATTGTTCCTTCTCTATTGCTCAACATTACTATTTTTAAACTCCTGTGTAAAAACCAGCCTTTATAGCCAGGTGCCAGTGATTCATGCCTGTCATCCTACTCAAGAGGCTGAAATCTGAGGATTGAGGTTCAAAGCCAGCCCAGGCAGGAAAGTCCATGAGACTCTTATCTCCAGTTAACTACCAGAAAACCGGAAGTGGAGCTGTGGCTCAAAGTGGTAGTGCTCTAGTCTTGAGCTTCTGGGACAGTACCCAGGCCCTGAATTCAAGCCCTAGGACTGGCAAAAAAAAAAAAATATATATATATATATACACACACACACACATATACATATATATATATGTGTGTGTGTGTATATATATATATATATCCTTTGTTGTTTCATCGTGTTCCCCAACCCTTTCTGTTTTTCAGGAGACAACTATCTCCATTCAGAAACAGAAAACAAAACTTTAAATTGGAACCCTCTCATTTTGTCACCTGTCTCAGAAGACTGTACTGAGAAGACAACATGGTCTCCTTCTGGCATTCCTTTAGACAGCCCATCAGGGGTCCTTCAGCAACCCCAGGAAACCTGAGGATGATCATGCTCCCACTGCAAGCTAGTAACTGCACACACCGGCCCGGGGATGGACAGTATGAAGGCCATGCATTCAAATCAGAGAAAAGCATTATTTATTTTTTTGTAGTTGTAATGTCATGAATGTATCTTAAAATGTGTGCCCTTTTATATTATTTATGCTGTAGAAGTTTCCTCCTCCATTTCTTCCTTTCCTTTCAATAGGAAATGGCCTCATATTTCCTAGTTTTCAAGCATTTGGAGAATGAGGGGTCATTCTGTGATAGTAAGAACTCATGTCGTGGGGTCCAGTGTTGCTGACCAATTCAGTAAGAAGGGAATTGCCCAGTCCATTTGAAGTTTGCCACTAGCCATATTTCCAGATAGAAAGCTGTCATTTGATATTGTGTTATCAGACATTCTAAGAATGTTTTGAAACCAACCACAAGTGTGACCTAATGTTTATAATAGCAGGATTGGCTGATGAATTGTATGAGTGCCTTTCACCACAGTGCTAATAAGACCTGCTGACTCACTTTCTGTCTGCACGTGAGCACAAGTAATGTTCAATCTCAAGGCACTAATTACTAAGCGGTATTATGAAGCAGGAAGAGTGCAAGGTCTGGTTGGATTATTGCCCTATGCAGAAAGGAAACCAAGGCCAGAGAGAAAAAAAAAATCAGTGCTTTAATGTCCCACTGCTTTTCAAAATACATGCTTGAAACTAACATTAGTTTCCTAGCTATCACAAGAGAGTGTATGAATCAACTTGCTATATAACTAACTGCATCCATCTTCCCCAACATAGGTCTATATCTCTTACATATAGAACTGTTAGTGAAAATGTATTGTCTCAGCTGGGCCACTATGCAAGGGTTACTTCCAGGGGAATGTAGTAGATGATTGCCTAGTTGAGTGTTAGGCTGGTGTAGAAGTTGGTGTAGCTGCTAGTACCGATCGCATAGAAGATTGATCTTCCATGTTGCTTTACTGCAGTTTGCCTTGTTTTGGAGGGAGTAATCTGCAACCCTTTGCTCTGTGACTAGCACAGGACAAAAGCCTAGTACACAGAATACGAAAACCTACCCTGTGTGTCTTGCCAATTAAGTTAGAGTGATACTTTTAGAAAATTTGGGGGAGTCCCGTGTTCAGGTGGTCATTCTGACTCACAAAACGGAAGTATGGTCATCGAAAGCCATAGGTCAGAAACTGCTTTTAAAGAATGAGGTTGTATATGGGACACTGTCCACAGGAAGAGAAAAATTATCTTTTAGGCAATCTCATTGTGGACTGCTTTATTTATATTATTAGTAACGCTGTTTTAAGTGTTATCCCTTTTATTGTATTTTATTTATAAAAATGCCTTTATATATTGAGATATATGAATATAAATATAAATATATAATTGCCTTTATGTTTAGGAGTTACGAGTTCTCTCTTAGTATGAGTTGCTCTGAACTTTCATGCCCTGCACAGTTACCAGACACAGCCCTACCTAACGTTGATTCCCCCAGGAGATGAGAGGCCATAGGACAATGTGGGGAACAGTGGAAACATTTGCAGAGGAACTACTGTGGTCAGTGCTCATTACTGATATCTCACGCAATCATCACAACAAATCTACAAAATAGTTGCGGAATTCCCAGGTCATGCGATGAGCCACAGAGACTTCACTTGAAACCTGGTTTATCTGGAGTCGCCTCCCATTTTTCCATACCACTTTCCAGAAGCGTGTGGTTTACTCTTTTGACAGAAGCAGTCCCATTACGTGTGCTGCTGTCTGCCCCAGCTGTGGAATTTCCCCAAGGCTCTAACTGCAGCCAGGGAAAGGCACCTTCTGGCCTACCAGGGAAGAGCTCTTTGCCTGGTATTTAGTCTTCAGGAATCTATGGTTCAAACTTTGAAACCCCTCCTCTCCCCACCCCACATTGGAGAATTTGATTTTCCCAGCTCAGTGATGGCAAAATCAGTTAGAGCTTCTTCACGCGCCTCTTACCCTAGAGTCCCATGGATTCCTTATTGTACCTAATCTAATCCCTCCCCCC